GGGGTGATTACGGAAGGTGCTGCACAAGTTTACATTCACTATAAACTAATTCACGCACAAGTCGCCGTGTCTGCTTCACTTTCCAGTAGTGCACACGGTGGACATCGTCAGCAACGACGGTCGAACTGTCGCCTGTAGCACTGCCGACAGCGTTAATTCTGTGAGTGGACTTCAAAATAGCACGCGCAACTGATAGGCGGGTGTGCTTGTTTTGCCCCAAAAACGGGTAATGCGCTAAATACGCTGGATCAACACAGGGGCTATCTGGCAGGCGTTATCGGGAATGTGCACCCATAACAAATGCCAACATTGGGGTGTGGTAGCACGCCCAATTGCCGTGCCAATTGGGATCGCTGCTGCTCCCCACTTTTGTTGTTGCTGGAAATCCTGATCAGTGTCTGCTGTGGTCTAGGGGGTGCAGTAGTGCGTCTCGGTAAGGGTTTTCGCCGTCCCAGCCACCTGCGCCCTCTCCCGCCTCCGGTCTTCTTGACTCTGTCTTGCTACCGCATCCTGGTGGGGGAAGATGGGTAAGTATAGTAGATGCTGCGTAAGTATTCTATCGCTGTAGACAAATTTACGCACAAATCACCTTCTCTGCACTCACCCCGCTGTGAAACACACTGCGGACATCGTCGGCAAAAACGGTCGAAATACCGCGTATGCACTTGGCGTTTCTCAAATAGCCGACCACTAGACGCGAGGAGTGGCGCACCTTAGAGGCTAGGGCAGAATGCTGCCAAACTTAGCCGACTGCAGCGACGTGTGCAATCAATGTGTCATTGAGGGCCCGAACGCCACTGACGCCGCTCTTGAGACCTATCAAGTCACAAGCTGGCGTCAGTACCAGCAGACAATCCCCACGTTCAATGTTGTAAGGGATAGAACCCCGCAAGCAAATACACGTCACGCATCACGCAGCGGAAGGACAGGACTTTCCAATAGTGGAAGAATGTAGCATCAGATAGTATGGTGAGGAATGGTTACTAACGTCAAGCTAAGATGAAATTGGTGAGGTTGGGGAAGGAAACAGAGCCGGCTGTGCGGGAGAAG